GCTCAGCTTTGGGGTTTTTGGGGTTGGGGGGATGAGGAGGGGATGTGAAGCTGCCCTCCCTCCCCCTTCTCCCCCTGCAGTGAATCAGCTGGGGGCTCAGCTTTGGGCTTTTGGGGTCGGGGGGATGAGGAGGGGATGTGAAGCTGCCCTCCCTCCCCCTTCTCCCGTCCTCCCCCCCCTCCCCCCTACAATAATTCCACCCCCTCCCCAGGGCTCTGCGTTACCGTTACCGCTACCTGAGGGATGATTCCTTTGACAACATTTACATCACGGAGCGTTTCGTGACGATGGACGCACAGCGGGCGCAGGTGGGCCGCCCCACTGTGCTGCCCCTGAGCATGAGGGAGAGCGTCCGCTACATCCACCCCGGTGAGCCCAAAATAATGGGGTGGTGGGGGGGAGGGGGGGCTTGGTGTGACGTCGATCACGCTGTCCCTTTGTCATCGGGAGGGATGGGGGAAGCAGTGTGGGCTCATGTTGTCCCCGTGACTCCAGGAGGGATGGGTGTCCCCGTGTGGCACCACTCATACTTGTCCCCATGTCACCAAGGAGAACGGGGGGGTCCCCATGTGGCACTGCTGGTGATGTCCCTGTGACCCCAAAAAGGGATGGAGGGTCCCCATATGGCACCACCCACGCTGTCCCCATGACCCCAGGAGGGATGGGGATCTCCATATGGCACTGCTCATGCTGTCCCCATGTCCCCAGAAGGGACAGAGGGTCCCCAAATGGCACCACCCACACTGTCCCCATGACCCCAGGAGGGATGGGGGTCCTGGTGTGGCACAACTCATACTGTCCCCATGTCCCCAGAAGGGACGGAGGGTCCCCAAATGGCACTGCTCACACTCGTCCCCATGGCCCCAGGAGGGATGGGGGTCCCCGTGTGGCACAACTCAAACTGTCCCCATGTCCCCAGAAGGGACGGAGGGTCCCCAAATGGCACTGCTCACACTCGTCCCCATGTCACCAATAGGAATAGGGCACGGCTCACGCTGTCCCCATGTCCCTAAGAGGGATGGTGGTCCCCACATGGCACCACCCACACTGTCCCCATGGCCCCGGGAGGGATGGGGGTCTCCATATGGCACTGCTCATGCTGTCCCCATGTCCACAGAAGGGACAGAGGGTCCCCAAATGGCGCCACCCACGCTGTCCCCATGACCCCAGGAGGGATGGGGGTCCCGCTGTGGCACAACTCACACTGTCCCCATGTCCCCAGAAGGGACGGAGGGTCCCCAAATGGCACTGCTCACACTCGTCCCCATGTCACCAATAGGAATAGGGCACGGCTGACGCTGTCCCCGTGTCCCTAAGAGGGATGGTGGTCCCCACATGGCACCACCCACGCTGTCCCCATGACCCCAGGAGGGATGGGGGTCCCGGTGTGGCACAACTCACACTGTCCCCATGTCCCCAAAAGGGACGGAGGGTCCCCACATGGCACCACCCACGCTGTCCCCATGGCCCCAGGAGGGATGGGGGTCCCCGTGTGGCACGGCTGACGCTGTCCCCATGTCCCCAGGCATGCCGTGGCTGGCCAGGCTGGAGCGGCAGCGCTACGGGCTGGAGCTGACGGGGTTCCTGCGCTACGTGCTGCTGGGGCTGAGCCTGGTGCTGGCTGACTACAGCCTGTTCTGGCTGCTGGACCTCGTGCGGCACCAAATGCAGGGCGAGATCGTGGCCAGGGGTGAGCATTTGGGGTCACCCCATAACCCACTCTGTGGACCCATGGGTGAGTGTTTGGGGTCACCCCATAACCCACTCTGCGGACCCATGGGTGAGCATTTGGGGTCACCCCATAACCCACTCTGCGGACCCATGGGTGAGCATTTGGGGTCCTCCCCCCATAACCCACTCTGCAGATCCATGGGTGAGCATTTGGGGTCCCCCACATAACCTGCTGTGCAGACCCATGGCTGAACATTTGAGGTCCCCTCCCAACACCACCTCAGCTGACCCATGGCTGAACATTTGAGGTCCCCTCCCAACACCACCTCAGCTGACCCATGGGTGTGCATTTGGGGTCCCCCCCATCACCCCCTCAGCCGACCCATGGTTGAATATTTGGGGTCCCTCCCCAGCACCTGTTCTGCTGACCCATGGGTGTGCATTTGGGGTCCCCCCCATAACCTCCTCTGCAGAACCAGGGGTGAACATTTAGGGTCCCAACCCAACACCCCCTCAGCTGAACCATGGCTGAACATTTGGGGTCCCCCCCCAACACCCCCTCAGCTGAACCATGGGTGAACATTTGGGGTCCCCTCCAACACCACCTCTGCTGACCCAGGGGTGAACATTTGGGGTCTCTCCCCATAACCCACTCTGCAGATCCATGGGTGAGCATTTGGGGTCCCCCCCATAACCTCCTCTGCTGACCCAGGGGTGAACATTTAGGGTCCCAACCCACCCCCCCCCCCAGCTGACCCATGGCTGAACATTTGGGGTCCCCCGTGTCCCCCCCAGCTCCGGCGGTGCTGGCTGTCCGCGTGGACGGCTCGGGCTACACCAGCGACATTTACCGGGACGTGGTTTCTGCCTTCGATGTCCTCCAACGCGGCAACGTCTCGGTGCTTTCGCAGCGCTGCCTTTTGCAACCCATGGAACCCGATTACAACACCTACATCGGCATGGGTGAGCAGCAACGGGGCGGGCAGGTGTGGGGCGGAAGGGGTGGGGGATTCCGGATTTGGGGTCACCTCTACGTCCCTCTGCCCCCCACGCAGGGATCCTATATGGCATCTGCTTCTTCATCGCGCTGTTCGGCAGCCACGTGGCACGGTTGCGACGCGTGATTTGTGCCGCGTATTACCCGACCCGTGAGCAGGTGAGGGACCCCCATCGCAACCCCAAATCCCCACCCCCCCCCCCCCCCCCCCCCCCCCCCCCCCCCCCCCCCCCCCCATGTCCCCACCCCCACGGAGCTGCAGTCCCTCGCTCTGTTGTCCCCGTCGTTCCAGGAGCGCACGGCGTTCCTCTATAACCGCATCCTGGCGAGGCGCACGGTGTTGGGGCGGATCCTGCGCCGGACGGCCCTGCAGAGCGTGGTGGATGGGGGAGGCAGCAGCACCGTGCTCCTCCTCCTCAGCTCCAGGTGGAGTCAATGGGTGCTGTGGGGTCGGGGATGGGGTGGGCTTGGGGATGGGGTGGGGTTGGGGGATGCTATGGGGTCGGGGATGGGGTGGGGTTGGGGGATGCTATGGGGTCGGGGATGGAGTGGGGTCGGGGATGGGGTGGGTTTGGAGATCGGGTGGATTTGGGGGATGGGGTGAGTTTGGGGGATGCTTTGGGTAGGGGGATGGGGTGGATTTGGGGGTTGATGAGGGTTTGGGGATGCCGTGGGTTTGGGGGATAGGGTGGGTATGGGGGATGCCTTGGGTTGCGGGGTGGGATGGGTTTGGGGATGGGGTAGTTTTGGGGATGCCATGGATTTGAGGATGCCATGGGTTTGATGATGCCATGGGTTGGGGGATGCCATGGATCTGGGGACGCTGTGAGTTTGGGGTCGCCATGGGTTTGCCCACCCCCCTGCCCCGACCCCGCAGTGACTCCAGCGATGAGGAAACCCCGGAGCTGTGGCTGGGAGCGGTGCGGGCGCTGCGGGGTCAGGAGGAGCAGCAGCTGCGGGATCAGGGCAGGCAGCTGGAGAAACGAATCCGCCGGGTGGTGCGAGGACGGGGGGGCGGCCGCCGTTTGCCCCCACGGATTGCAGCCCGGCTGCGGGCACAGCTGAAGGAGGAGGAGGAGGAGGAGGAGAGCAGCGGTGAGGATGATGCGCCCGGTGAGGACAGCTCGGCATCCAGGTGAGGACCGGGAGGGGTGGCCGTGGGGGTGAGGGGTGACAGCCCCCAACACGGCTCTGTGTCCCCGCCCCCCCTCCCATCCCTCCCAGCCTTGATTTCAGCTATCAGGAGCAGCCCGAAGGCAGCGGCAGTGAGCTGGAGGAGGTGAGGGCTGAGCGGCCGCACAGCAGAAGGCGGTGATGGCAGGACGGTGTCACACAGATGGCCGTGGAGAGATGGCATGGGGACATGGGGACGTGGGGACGTCGGGACATGGGGATGTGGGGACGTGGCTGCAGCCCCAGAAGCATGGAAGCCAGGAGCAAGCAGGGAGGGAATGGCAAATAAAGCACCTGGTCCTCAAGCCAGCTGTGTCCCCGTGTGCTGAGCTGGTGTCCCGTCTCCCCGTGGTCCCCATAGTGACCCTGCCCAAGCCTCAGACCCACGCTGTCCCCATCCCCGTGCCAAACGTCCCCAAAATGTCCCCAGCCCCATGGTGGCCCACCTCTGTCCCATGCGTCCTCTATCTCCGTTATGTCCCCAAGTGCACCCCTACATTGTCGCCAAATCCATCCCCACTGTGTCCCCAAAACAATCCCCCATTGTGACCCCAAATCCAACCTCATAGCATCCCCAAATCCAACTCCATTATGTCCCCAAATCCATCCCCATTGTGTCCCCATGCTCATCCCTATGGTGTCCCCATGTCCCCCCTATGGTGTCCCCATGTCCCCCCTATGGTGTCCCCAAATTCACCCCCATAGCATCCCCAAATCCAACCCCATTGTGTCCTCATGTCCAACCCTATTATGTCCCCATGTCCATCCCCACTGTGTCCCCAAATTCACCCCCATTGCATCCCCAAATCCAACCCCATTGTGTCCCCAAATCCATCCCCACAGTTCCCCAGATCC